AGCTCGGGGGAGGAGGACTCTGTCCTCTGGGCAAGGACCTACCCTTCCCATTGAACAGATCCAACTGCTCACAGGATTTGGTGGACAGAAGCAAGAACTTTGTTTCATTTCTAGCCAAAAATCATTATATTTTTATATTTTTGAACCTTCCCAATTACTTATTAAGAACTTTTCTAGCTGAATTTATCCTGTACTGAAACCTCGCCTTTCCACTTCTCTTTCTCCTACTGCTGCATTCAACAGAAAAAAAAAATATATAGATCAAGGATTGGTGTTGCTCCAAAACACCATCACTGGTGTCATTCCCAACGCTCAGTGGAAATCTTGCCCGTCAGTCTGCGATACAGCAAAGACACCCTGGGCTGCCCAGTTCTGGCACAACATCCCTCCTTGGCCATGGCTCAGAGACACCCCACCTCTCGGGGCAGAACCCACCAGAAGGAACAGCACCATTCACCACGACGTGACTATTTTGCCAATGGCACCTCCTCACGGAGATGAGGTCGTTCAGTTAGGGTTTATGCATTTGATTAGAATTAATTACTTATCCCATCGCATACAGTAACATGACCTGTTATTTTGCACTTTACTAGTGTAAAATTTATTAGAATGAATGCATGAAGAACAAGTTTTAAATTAGAATTTTATACAGCAAGTAGCATTTTCATTGAAAAGTAATTTTAAAGTAAGATTTAGTCTTGGAGAGAACTAAACCAGTGATAACACTGTACTGTTCTGACTTCTTTAGAAGGTAAGGTTTGTTTTATTTTAACCATTTTTATGTAAAGTTACAGAAATTTTGGACTAGAATCTCAGATGATCATTGGCAATTGTCGCATCTTTGTACCAAAGAGTCTCTCTCCATCACCCGAAAATTAAATTTAAAATCATTAGCTTTTGGGGAATCCTAAAGGGAGCGAAATGTGCTGTTCCCACCCAGCGGTGCCCCCACCAGCCCCGACCCGCAGGGTGGGAGCCTCCCGTGGGCTGTCACTGTCACCCACCCACAGCATCTCCTGGGGACACAGACTCCTCAGGTCGCACTGAGGTCATTGGGATCTCCCTCCCCCTCAGTGGATGTCAGCTCTCAGCTGCCCGCCTCATTTTAAGCAAAATACCAGCATTTTCAGAGCTCTTACCTGGCAAACCCGGCTGGAGGCTGGTCCCCAGAGGTGCAGCCACAGAGACCGTCCTGTCCCTGGGACATGGGCTCTGACGGGCCTTTCAGCTGAGAGGTCGCTGAGGTCTCCTTTGAGAGGTGTCCTCCGTGTCCACGGGCTCAGGAAAGCTGTAACTCATTAGAGGCACTGGACAAAGTAACAGCAGCAACGAGGACAGAGGGCTGGAACGAAAGCAGTTGTGAGGATACACACACACACAGGGATTTTTACACTCCGATAAGCCAAGAAGAGAACATCAAAGAAATATGTTTAAAAGGGTAGGCAGGTAAGTTATAGTTCGCTGTTTAAAATGATGTGATCACCAAAATTGATGACATAAGAGAATAAGGATAAAAAAAATATATATATACTTCCCCAATAAGCAAAGAGAGGAGCAAGGCAGAGGGACACCAGCCTCTCCGCTCCCCAGGTACCCACCACCCGGTGCTTTCAGGAGCAGGGAAGAAGCTTCCGGACCAGAAAGACAGCCTTGTTCAACTCTGGACCTCTGCTGGGACTGGGGACCAAGCTAACCAGCCAAGAAAGAACACATCAGATTTTTCTTAAGAGTCAGAAAAGAGAAACACAGTGGTGATGGGAGCCGAGCCAGCAGAGAACCACCTTTGCAGCCTCCAGCCCACCGCCAGCCGCTCGCCCTCCCGCCGGGAAGCACTGCCATCGTCTGCCCCGCTCCTGTCCTCCCCACGGGACACCGGGCAGAGGACAGGGGCACCATCTCTGTGGCACCTTCTCCGCCTGGCGGCCCTGAGGCTGTGGAGTTGTCCTGAGGACACTGGAAATAACCATTAAGAGAAACCTTAAAAAGCAGCGATAGAAGGAAAGAGAAGATGCAGAATTATTAAGGTGTTTCCTCCCTACAACATCTCTACAGCTCCTGTAATATCCGAACAGCCCAAGAGAAAGCCCGTACTTCATCTTCCTAGCAGCGTTTTTGACTGGGTTTGGACAGGTGACCCTTGGCTGAGAACTCACAAAAATGTCACTGCCTACTGCCAACCTCCATGTGCACCAATGACCCTCTTGTGAGTGACAACCCTGAGCTAAAATACCCCTCTAATGGAAAAAGGAGAGACACCTCTCCAAAAGGAGAGTTAAGGAGTTCCACCACGGTCTGCCAGCCCCCTGGACAGGCAGAGAGGAAGGAAGGAGCCACCAGAACCGGACCTGGAGAGCGCCCATTCCCAGGGGAGCTGCTCCGGCACGGGGTCCCAGCACAAAGACCAGGGGCTGCGCCCGAAACAAAGAGCCTGCTCTACCTGAGGAGACACAGTCAGAGGTTGTCCCAATAACAGCCACCAGTTTCTTCAGTTGGTTTAAAGGGAGGACTTCTGGAGATGCTCAGCAAGATGACGCATTGCTCTTTCCCCTCAGAGTGATGAGGAGGAACTGCTGAGTCTAAGCTTTCATGAGCTGGTCTCATAATTGAGTAGAAGTGGAAAGTTCAGCCAAGACACTTACCTTCCTTCTGGAAAAGCTCTTTGTGTGTTTTTATGTAGGTCTTTTTGCTTTAAAGAGAAGACCAAGAAGCAGCAGGACCAGCACTGGTTGTAGCAGGGGAAACAGAAATCATGGTTGGAGTTTCTGTCTCCAGGTCTTGTTTCCACGTGGGTTCTCTGGTGTTTAACGAGAGCTGAACTGGGATTACAACCTCTTCCCTGGAAGAGATTACCCACGTTGTCTTCTCCAACAACTCTGCCTATTTCAATAAAACTGTAGCTCCCTGTTATCTGTGGGACCTCATCAAACCTTGACCTTCTGTCAAACTTGTTCAAATTGGCCACTAATTAAGAAAGGCATTAGAGAGAGATGAGCAGGTAGGGCACGCAATTAATGGAGAGAAAATCTCTTTCTGCTACTTTTCCGCCACCCCCTCCGCATAGCCGTGCGGGAAGCTTGGCAGATGGGACCACCACCACCAGGTATGGGATTCTGTGAGCAGAGGGGGCTCCTTCCCCCCACAGAGGGCTCTGCAGCCGCAGACGGCCCCTGGCCATGTCCTCCAGCCGCTTCCAGCTCCTCCCTCCGCCCAGCGCACTGCAGCCCAACAAAGCGCTCCAAAAACAACGTTTATGTTTCAAAACTGGAAAATGGCACACACCAGCCCAACGGGAGCATGACAACGGCATGAGTTCAGCGCGGGCCCGAGGGCCGGCCCTCCCTGCCAGGGACGGGGAACTGGAACCTGGCGGGGAGGGACAGCAGGGAACCAGACCCGAGGAACGCGCCAGGAACCGCGGCCACCGCGGGCCAAACCCTGCCCAAGGGGAGCTCAGCCCCGCTGGAGCCAGCGCAGGGACAGTGACACGGCCCCGCAGCCACCGCAAGGCTTCAGAGCATGGCTCCAGAGCCGGGGATGGGCAGCTTCAACATCTGATTCCCATTCTCAGCCATCGCCTCTTCGCCGAGGCTGACGCAGGACCCCAAAACGCCTGGTTTCTGCTCAGAAGGGTGTTCTCCGGTAACGACGGAGCTGTTATGGATGAACTGCTGAACAGGGGCCACCCCACCGCGGCCGAACGGACTGAAAGTTGGACCTGGCAGAGGAGAAACAAACTAAATCATTCTCTTTGAACAGACAGAGCCAGAATTGCCCCTGCCTCACATCTTGTATAGCCATTTAGGTCGAGTCTATGTAAGGTAACTTTTATGAAAATGAAGTTATAAATACATAATAAATCCATCTAGAAAAATTCCTTGCCTATGAAGAACAGAGAGTAATTTTAATTTGTAAAGTAATAAAAGCTGGATGCCAAATTGCAATGCTAAAATTGAAGTCAGAAGTTACATCAAGACAGGTTTTCAGAAGCAGTAATTTTTTTTGATGTAATATTTGAAAGTGATCAATTCAAATTCTGCTTTTGAAAAATGTCCTCAGCTTTGATCTCGCTCCAAGTTTAGCCCAGAACAACTATTATACAGCCAACATTAAAAGTCTGAAAACAAAGTGATTTATAATGGAAACACAGAAAATAAATCACCATTTCAGAACTTCCCAACGCACCACAGATGAGATCCAGAAGGTCAGACGGAGCTGTCACGGAGTGTGCGAGCTCTCCCCGCTGCAGCTTGGGACCACGCAGGAGCAAACCCCGGTAACGAGCTCCATCAGACACACCCCGGACTCGTGCCTTCCCAGGCACCCTCTGGGGGTTCTGGGTTCTGGGGAGACAGATCTCACAGATGATATTTACAGATTGTGACCTGCAGAGATTGCAGCACGACCACGGGCAGCACCTCCAGGGAGCTGAGCAGCTCAGCCTCCTCCGGCGGGAGAGAGCAGATACCAACGCCCTGCTGGAGAACATCCCACCAGATCTGACCACCAAAACGAGAAGAGCCATTAACATCCTGAATTAATGGGCTTAGTGGTTTTCAAACGAGGTATTTTCATGATGGACATGGTGTGGATTCAGCAAAGTCTGCCCTTTAACAAATACAGCTTCAATTTCAAAGATTTGATTATGCTTAATACCATTAGGGAACCATTACTGATTTTATGCTGTTGTTGTTACTGCTTTAACTATCAGTTTCTGAACCAAAAATTGCAGACAGTTGGCTTGACCAAGAGTCAAGGTTTAGGAATGCAGAGGCAAATCCAAGGTACAGATGAGCTTCAGATGTGGCCGGGCTTCACAGGGTTTAATGGGCTCTCCAGAGTTTGTCAGGTCACAGAGGGGTTTTTTTCTCGGGGGGTGTGTGCACACATCGGTTTCTTTGTGGCTTTTGTTTGTTTTACACACCGGGGGCCTGAGCCAGTGCCATCCCCATTCAGACCAGCAGTTATTGCATGCAACAATTAAAAAAAAAAAAACCTCACAATAAGTTTTTCGGATTTATTGTATACCGTTTACAAAAAAAACCAAAACAAATGAAAATGATCTTCTCAACAAGCAATCCTTGATCACCACCACGTGTTTCTAAACCAGCCAGATGTTCACAGTTTAAGAAGCCAAATAATACTACTTTTTTGTAAACGTTAATGGTGAAAGAGCAATAATAATGGTTTTAGTCAATCATCATTAGTACTTGAAAGTACAAATATAAATTAAATAAGACTCAAAAAACTTGTACAATAAAATCCGCTGTAAACAAAGCTAATTAAAAAGAACTGCTCTCGACCTGTGTTGTGGGTTTCATCTTGTTTTAAAATTAAAAGCAGTATTTATTTTTCTGAAGCATCCAAACGAATGTTCACATCCAGATGTCCTTAAAAAGAAACACGATCTTCATTCTTCCCTCATTTTTTAATCTGTTTATATTATATTTTACTTCTGATTGTCTTTCTCTTCCTTGGCAATCCTCTTTGTCACACCACTGAAATATTTCTCACGGAAGGAGTTGTGGCCCCTGTACGGCGTGTACTGACCATCCAGCAAGTAGGAATCCTGATCCTGGTCCTGCACGGTACCAAAAGGCAAGCGTTAGGTTTTGGGGCAGCGTGTTCAGCGTCTCTGACACCGCGTTCCCTCCAGGCTTTTCAGACAATTACAAGCAAGAGTAAAGCTGGTTGGTTGGGGTTTTTTGTTGGTTTTTCAATTTTTGGTTTTTTGGTTTTTCGATTCAATGGCAAATATTTAAGTCATTAGATAGAGTAAAGAATTCCAAAAATAGAATGCTAAGGTTTCCATAAGGATTAACAAGAACATACACATCCTACTGCAAAGTCTTAACATTTAACAGAAACAAAAATCCACATGCAAAAGATTCCCATTTGACATTGATCAATCTCAAGCTCTAAGCAGACAAGGGGGGGTCAGTGGGTTTTTGGGTTTGGTTTTTTTATGCACTCATTCAAATTGTCATTATTCTGCTCTCTACAGCAAAAGGAAGCGAGACATCAGTACCAGACATTTGAAGTTTTTGGCGGTGCTGCTTCACTGGCAATATCTCCTCTAACATCCCTGAGCACAGCCCTTGTGTAGAGCTCAGGCACTGTGGATGCCACACAGGGTTTTATACAGGAAAACATAAAGATTAGTTCCCGGAAAAAATCCTGTCTGGAGAATTCAATCACTTTGAGGATTGTGGAAGGCAGACACAAACCCAAGAGGAACACAAATACCTCAAATGAGTTCCTACAGACACCGAAGAGCTATCAGAGGGTATTTTCTTGCACAATATTTGCATACTTCTGAAAGCTGATGTTGACACAGTAAATCCCCACACCGGAGAGCGCTGGCAGCAGCCAGGAACATCCTCTAGAAAACCAGCCCATTATACACACAAAGTGTGTATCAAAGTGCTGATCCTTCCTGCGGCTTCATACAATGGGGATACTTGTCAACTAAGGCTATCAGTACTCTAAGATAAACAATCCATCTAACTCATCTGAGGGAACTTTTAACAGCAGTTTAACACTTGTGGCTGCTGTCAGTTTGTTATGTCAACAGCAAGATGATGGGGCTGAGAGAAACAGCCTCACACAGAACAACTGACCTGGGCAAGGAGAAAACAAAGCCAAGCTCAGGACAGCACCAACCCTCTGTTCCACGGAAGGTCTGCTCTCCATGCAGCCTCCTGACTCTGATTTTTTCCAGCCACGCAGCAACATACAGAGTGGCTCGTAGCTTCGTTTCAGCTCAGGGTTATTTGTTGCTATTTGAAGCTGAGGTTACTGTTGAATGCTTTAGCACGGGCAGTAGGAACGTGGGAGTGGATTTAAGTCAGTATTTTCATACACGATGTTGCATACACGTATTGCAGTGTGAGGATGACCTGAACCAGCAGCTGTGGTATGGCCTATCCAGGCTCTCACCTGGCACGACCACCAGCTCCTCTTGCTTGGGATTTCTGGGGTGCATCCTGGAGGTGGCTGAGGGAAGGGTCTCCAGCCCTGCAGGAGCCCGTGTGTGGTTGCAGCAGCTCTCTTCTGGATACAGGGACATCCCCACCATGGGGCTCTCCTCTGCTGACCCAGCAGCCTGAGGTGCCCCATGGACATCTAACATGCAAGGCACAGACACCACCAGCAGCAAACCAGTTCTATTTAACTGCAACACTGGGAACAGCAAGGGAAAACCACCTCAGCAACGCACAACAGACACAGCGCTATCTACTGCCTCTGGGTCACCACGAGACACCATCTCCAACCCCACTCCCAGGCTGATGACCAACGGGCTTTTCATGTGTCCATGGGGAAAAGTTACTATTGGCAGCCAGGAAACAAGAAGGATTTTGGACACGCTCCTCCCCAGGCAGCCTTTGCCTGTTTCCCCAGCTATATCCTGTACGAGGGAAAGAGCACTGAGCCTTCCCCTGGATTCACAGGCCAGTGATCCTTCTCTGACCCAAACACATCATATCTTTTTATACCTTTGGGATGCGTTTTAATGGTAATTCTACATAATTAGCTTGTTTTGAGAAATGGATGGGATATTTGACCCTGAAAGGTAATGATATGTGGATCAATAGTATTCTAACATAAAAATTAATCCCCGCAACCTCCAAGAGGTCACACATCTGTACACCATCATCCCCGCTCCTGGAGAGACAAAATGCTGATTCAGGGCGAAGGGAGGAAGGAAGAAAGGAACCACCCCTGTGCCCCGAGCTGGTGAGGGCAAGGAGAGGATGCAATATGTAAGAGAACAGAAGCAAAGCACAGCTGTGAGAGGACCGTCTGCATTCACCAAACGGCGTCTTGCTCCCCGGCAGAACCCACTCCATAAATCCAGGCCTTGTCTAAAGCTACGGAGATCATTGCTCACTGGAGGAGGAGAGTTGTGTTCGGGCACAGGCTTCTCGGAAGAGCTTACAAAGGAAGCTCCTGGCCCACAGGACATGGATGGGGCAGCCACAGCTTCTCTGGGCAACCTGGACCAGGGTCTCACCACCCTCACAGCAAACAATTTCTTCCCCACATCTCATCTCAATCTCCCCTCTTTCAGTGTAAAACTCATCCTATCACTTCCCTCCCTGATCAAGGGTCCCTCCCCATCTCTCCTGGAGCCCCTTGAGGGACTGGAAGGGGCTCTAAGGTCTCCGCAGAGCATTCTCTTCTCCAGGCTGAACTCCCCCACCTCTCTCAGCCTGTCCTCTCAGCAGAGGGGTCCAGCCCTCCCAGCATCTCCGTGGCCCTTGAAATACATCAGCCCAGTAAGATCTCACCTCCAATTGCTCTTGTTTTGTTCCTCTCCTGTTCTTCACTTCTCTAATTCTTCACTTGTCTAATTCCTCTGCCTTCAGAGTTTAGAGGACCAGACGTTGCTCACTGGCTACTGCTAGCTGCCTGCTACAACAACTGCCTTCCTTTACTTTTGTTATCACGGAGATCATTGCTCACTGGAGGAGGAGAGTTGTGTTCGGGCACAGGCTTCTCGGAAGAGCTTACAAAGGAAGCTCCTGGCCCACAGGACATGGATGGGGCAGCCACAGCTTCTCTGGGCAACCTGGACCAGGGTCTCACCACCCTCACAGCAAACAATTTCTTCCCCACATCTCATCTCAATCTCCCCTCTTTCAGTGTAAAACTCATCCTATCACTTCCCTCCCTGATCAAGGGTCCCTCCCCATCTCTCCTGGAGCCCCTTGAGGGACTGGAAGGGGCTCTAAGGTCTCCGCAGAGCATTCTCTTCTCCAGGCTGAACTCCCCCACCTCTCTCAGCCTGTCCTCTCAGCAGAGGGGTCCAGCCCTCCCAGCATCTCCGTGGCCCTTGAAATACATCAGCCCAGTAAGATCTCACCTCCAATTGCTCTTGTTTTGTTCCTCTCCTGTTCTTCACTTCTCTAATTCTTCACTTGTCTAATTCCTCTGCCTTCAGAGTTTAGAGGACCAGACGTTGCTCACTGGCTACTGCTAGCTGCCTGCTACAACAACTGCCTTCCTTTACTTTTATTATTATCACAATAGTTCAAGACTGGGGAGGAGGGGAGTTACTAATGACCAGCATGGCTGTTTAAAAAAAAAGGCTTAAACGTTAAAAACCAAAAAACTCTTCTGCCATATTGTGCACATGCTGGAGAAGGCTTAAACATTAAAAACCAAACAACTCTTCTGCCATATTGTGCACATGCTGGAAAAGTCTATTCCTATCAACACAGTGTTCAGTAAGAAATCTTTTCCAGTTGGCACGATTTCATCGTAAACTTAAATAGAACAGACTGGATGCTTAAAAGACAGCAAGTTATATACTACCTTTTGTGATGTTTTTAATCCAACATTTATGATCGTCACACTTCTGATTAATTATGATAGATCAACACTTCAACTAGACACATTCCCTTTGGTCTCCATTATGTTACAAGCACAATCAAATTGAACACCAATTTCATGTTCAGTAACTGACTGAGTTCATTTCCAGTGAAGAGTTGAGAGTGTTAATAGTGGAAACTAATTTGCTGTGAAATCTGCAATTCATTATTGGTGGCAAACACTGGGGAAACTGAAGGACTACAGAATGACAGTACAGGACCTGTAAAACTCCTCAGCCACTTGTGAGCACTCCACTAAGCTGAACTAAAAGGTGTTTGTGAGTGCGTTTCTGATTAATTATGATAGATCAACGCTTCAACTAGACACATTCCCTTTGGTATCCATTATATTACAAGCACAATCAAATTGAACACCAATTTCATGTTCAGTAACTGACTGAGTTCATTTCCAGTGAAGAGTTGAGAGTGTTAATAGTGGAAACTAATTTGCTGTGAAATCTGCAATTCATTATTGGTGGCAAACACTGGGGAAACTGAAGGACTACAGAATGACAGTACAGGACCTGTAAAACTCCTCAGCCACTTGTGAGCACTCCACTAAGCTGAACTAAAAGGTGTTTGTGAGTACTGAACTGGTTTGTAGTGGGCAAAGTGGACAAGAACTGTCCAGAAACAGGAACACATGTATATTCATAAAAATTCACTCTGTCATTTGGGAAAGAGAAAACCAGCCAAAGCTCCAACTATTGAACTTTATGATCCTATCTGGTAAATCAGAAGTATCAAATAAAAAGGTTGTTCAAGACATTAAAACAGGAAAAAGCATGTCCCAGGTAAGGTTCACCAGGGTGGGAAAATCTTGGCTAGACACCAAACAACAGGACCTTAAACCAAGCAGGCACTAGCCTAGGAGTTCAATATGTACTTTTTTATTTGGACAAATTTTGCATCATCAGAAACAGCAGATGGGTTCTGGTATGTTTAAATTATCTAGCAGACATCATTCACTCTGTCATTTGGGAAAAAGAAAACCGCCAAAGCTCCAACTATTGAACTTTATGATCCTATCTGGTAAATCAGAAGTATCAAATAAAAGGTTGTTCAAGACATTAAAGCAGGAAAAAGCATGTCCCAGGTAAGGTTCACCAGGGTGGGAAAATCTTGGCTAGACACCAAACAACAGGACCTTAAACCAAGCAGGCACTAGCCTAGGAGTTCAATATGTACTTTTTTATTTGGACAAATTTTGCATCATCAGAAACAGCAGATGGGTTCTGGTATGTTTAAATTATCTAGCAGACATCTGGAGCCCTGAGTGCAAGCCCCCGTGCAGCTCTATCCAAGCTGCAAAGCTGCCAACCAGGCTCAGGTGCTGGGAGCTAAGCACTTCCAGCCGCGGACCTGTCCACGCAGGAGCTGAAGAGCAGGTGATGCACAGAACACCAGTAACAAACGACCGAGGTCTAATCCAGCAGGGTGAGTACATTTTTTAAATTAGATCATATTATCCTACAGCACTGGCAATAATCAAACTCTTGCAGAAAAAGGTGTGTGAACACCCTGAGACGTACACCTCACAAACTCTCACCATTCACCCTCCGGGCTCGCTCCTGCTCTGGCCTCGAGCACCACGTGCAGGGCTGTAACGCTCTCACCAGTCACCCTCCGGGCTCACTCCCGCTGACACCAGCAGCTTGGCCTCGAGCACCACGTGCAGGGCTGTAACACCATCCATGTCACCACAGAACCTCAGCCACCATTAGCACTGTCACCGCCGGGCTGACACCACCTCCAACTGGGGCTCCTGCCCTCTCAAACACCCCAAAACCACCCGCTCTCCCTTCCCCGTGCTTCTGCTCAGAACGCGCCTCTCCCCCGTTCAGTATCTCTTGTGACAGTATTGGGTGAGAGAAGCTGCAAGAAGGGAAAGGAGACCAGGACACAGCATTCCCTGGTCTGAAGGCTCAGGAGAGGTTCTCGGCACTTCCCAAACCCAAACAGGCCAGAGCGCTCCACTGTCCTGCTGTCACAGCTCTAACCTTACCCCACATCTCAGAGAGTACCACTCCAAAACTGAAGTAACAGAACTGAATATGGTTTACATCTGCTGTAAGACCCCCAACAGCATTTAGTATTTCCTTGGGCACCAGGTGACACTCTGGAATGACAAGGAGCCTAGGCACCTCGGCACCTCTGTGGGTGGGATCCACAGAGTCCCCTTTTCCAAGAAAAGCACGTGCAACTTCCACAAGCAACCATTAAGTTCAAAGATCTCTCTCACGCTGTAAAGAAGCTTGCTCAGGATGAAAAGTTTATCAAAAACTGAGGAGAAAAAAGGAAAAGACCAAAACCAGAACAGTCCCTTGAATAACCACCCAATTTATTTTAATGAAATGTGTGGCAATTTTACAAGAGCCCTAACTCTCATTATAAAAGACTCAAGTGGGACAGAAATAAGGATCAAATGCTGAACAGCACAAACTTTTCGTGAATGCAATAGCTACTATTTTACACAATATAATCAAGAATTGAAGCTTACCTTGAATTCTTTCACTTTTTCCATGGTTATCAGGCGCCTCGACGTGTGGCTGGAAAGCATCTGCTCACAGTTGCTAATAAGCTTCAGGCAGGGGTGGCGGGGAACGATCTCCTCCGTGTATCTGGAAGAAATAAACATTCTCAGAGCCGTGAGCTCCTGAACTGCAGGACCTCCAGCTGAAATTAAAGTCATGCAGATTCTTCACTTCAATTGCAAATCCATTTCACCCAGCTCTTACTAGACAGTGACATTCTGGGACTCCAGAATCTGCTGTTACAAATGGATCACATTGTAATTGCTTTCTCTAAAGGGAAGAAAAAAAATAAATCTATTATCTTTTACCATCAGATGGTAGTGACACTGGCTTGCAATGAAATGCTGTCTGTGGAAGCATTTACAGTGTTTGAAACACCCCCACCCCACTGGCTCACTATTTTCTATAGAAACACCTTTCTCTAGATTGCTGTCAATCCTTCTGTCTCTCCAGGTGCTGAAAGAGGAGTTTAAGGATCTAAGATCTTTGCATGGGACTACAGGAGCAGGAAGCACTGACCTAGTGAATAAACACGAGATCAGACAGCCTTCCTCCGGACTGAAATACTGATCAGCCACTTACTCTTAGTTTTTGTAATGAGCTTTCCTTTGATAGTTACTACAACACCACACAAGAATGGTGCATGGCATTGTCAGTGATGATGATTTCACACGAAATGCTGGCTTTCGTGATTCCCCAGTGCCTGGGGGGCATCAGAAGTCAGATGTTTAGAAGCAGAACAAACAACTTTCACACCCATCACTTGAACTCAAAAGACACAAAGGAGGAGGTTCATGTTTTTTTCTGTCAAGAAGTGGATTTTCTGAACGCACTTTACAAAGTGAACGTACAGAGAAGTCAAACACAACTCAAATAGAATCCATCTGGGTGCTGATGGAAATCTCGACATTTCTTGCCGATAATAGTGAGCTGTTAAACAAGACAGACAATACCAAATACAGATTTCTAAATAGGAAAAAAATCAAACCAGTACTGCCTCTTTGCTCTGTTCCAAAACAACCTTCCGGCCACTTCTCAGGTGTGGCATCAAGTCACTACCTCTGCTAGGAGAAGGCAGAACAGGTGTTTGACAAAGAAGAATCAAATTAATTCTCAACTGATTTTTTCTATTACACAAGACTCGTGATGCATGTGGTACCACCCAGCTGTCCCTCTCTTAGAGGCAGGCACTCTGCCACAACATCCCAACAGCTTCTCTTCATAACCACCTGAAGCCTGACTGCAAAGGAATTAAAAGAATTCAGACTCAACAAAGATTTCAATGTCAGATGGAAAGAGGAAACTTTGGAGTGAGATGCTATCTCGCAGAGGGAGAGATCCTTATCACGGCGTTAAAAAGCCATGTCTGTTAGCATTAATGCATATATTTCTACATTCTTTCAGGTGAAACCCGGAACATCATCAAATAAGAAATATAGTAGCAGTAGTTTGAACAGACATGCATTTTAATCCAGCTTTGTTTTTAATTTAAGGTAATGCTCAATGACCCTGATGGCAGGTGCTGCCAGGGGATATCTGATAACACAGCGTATTAGTAGACAGTACATTATCTCCCCTCCTACTCCCTTTCATGTTTTCTTCTGTCTTCATCAGTACAGCTGAAAATAAACCCACTACACTAATATTCTGTGCTAAAATAGTGGCTTCAGTATTTCAACCTTCATTGCATAAAGTCAATGCACAGTAGAACATACAAATTCACTTTTTAAGAGGCAGCCCAGGTAGAGCCTGGGAGAGCAGCTCGAGCACGACCAGAACATGCAGCTCATGGTTCTCTGAACCCGAGCACTTGGCAAAGGCTGCACTCAGGAGCACGCTCCTACCCACGTCCAGGGAGCTCTGGACTCTTGACAAACAGAAGAATCTCAGCAATCCCTAACAGAGTTTATTTACATGGAGATGTAAGAATTCACAACCACACATGGTCTGTCAGGGTTAAGCATCTATAGACAGACATTTTTAACAATTAGCTATAATACTGTTAATGGCATTCATCACTTTCTTTGTGAGCAGTCTTACAAGAGAAAAAGCCTAAGATACCAACTCTATAATAATAATAATTAAAAAAAAAAAAAAAGCAGCAAGCTACTAAGCATGCTCTTCTGTTATGGAAGCGTGTACCAGAAATGGCTACTTTTGATTTCCAAATTTTCAAAACACCATGTGATAATTAAATCACAGAATCTTCATGGTTGGAAGGGACCTTTGAGATCATCGAGTCCAACCAATGTAGGACTGCCACGAGCCATTTCCATGGTGAAACCAGGGACAACAAACCCTTTATATACCAGTATAGTTTGACTGTACATGGAAACATAGGACATTGTAGAAGCTGCCTTTGGAGCACTGCAAGAGACTTAGAAGCAGCCGATGTACAGCAATGACCCACCATTTTGGAAAAAAAAAAAAAAAACCAAAAAACCTCAAATCCTTCTCTGAAGGTGCTGAAGTAAGGAATGGAAATGGGTCCCTCTCCTTTGAAACCTGGCTCTGATCCCAGGCTGCACCCCCAGCTTCCTGCAGTCTCCGCCAGCCTCTCCTCCCTACGCTCCTGTCCCTCACTGCCACCGCTCAGCAACTTGACTGGTGGGGTCAGAACAAAGTGCTACCAGCAGCACCAGACACCAAAGAGCCAAGAGTGCTCTCCTACAGGACCCTATCATCCACCTCTGTCAACTACTCTGGTAGAAACAGAGATTTCTAAGATGGTAGCAGCAAGGCTCGAATTAATCTATCTGCACCTTGAAAGCCTCATTTCTAAGCTTAAACCTCAGCAGACTGGATACGCATTTGCAAGGACATGTGAAAGCTTTTTCCTTGTTGGTAACAGTTGGGAATTACCTCCATCCAAAAACCTTACTTCCCAATCTGCTCTCCCTCACCAGAGGTGTTACAACGCGCACTGCTCTCACCTCGGCACGACGGACGTTCCAGCCCTGCGGTGCCCCAGGGGAAGCCCAGTGAGAAGGCACCATCCATCCCCCCACAGCACACACCAGACACCAGAATACGTACTCAGGCCTGTACACGGGCAGCCAGTAAACCAGTCTTCCTCCCATCACCAGGTACTCGGCCGCAAACTTCAGCAGGTCAAAAAAGATGTCACTTAGATGATAATTGGATGAAACGAAGATGTGATTTTCTGTGCTAAACAAAAAATTTACAAGTGTAAACATAAAAGCATGGGTAAAACCTGCATTTTTAATTAAAAAAAAAAACCACACACACAAAAAAACCCGCAAAACAAACAAACAAACCAACCCAAAAAACTCCAAACCACCCAATAGCACTATCTGAGATTTGTAGAACTACCAAGGACAATCCAGGAGGACAGCTTCTGCTACAAGGAATATATGACTTCCCAAATTCCCCTACTGGCTCCTTAGTACTTGGGGGAGTCAATGAATCACAAGCACGTTGAGAATAGTTATTTTTTTCAAGAACCTTCCTTAAAGGCAATTTAGAGTACAAGGCAGAAGGAAGGGCAGGCAGTGGAGAAGCAATGTGTTATCTCTGAAGAGAAAGGAGCAGTGGAAATCCAAGGAAGGAGGTTAAGGTAAAACAGACATATTCCATTTGAGACTGATTTTGCAGGGACTGAAGAGAACTTTCTGAGAACAGGAAACACGAGGTAAGGGTGGCTCACAGAGACAAGAGACAGGATTTGAAATCTGAACACATGCAAATGACAAGCAGGAAGAACAAAACCAAGAGGATTTCAGGAAATGACATACTGGTTTTGCAGAGAGAACAAAAGGGGCTTTTCTTCTTTAATTATTATCGCTATCCTTTTTTTTAACTGTTGACAGCCAACCAAGAAATAATAAAGATTCTAAAGCTGATATTTACACTGTGACAGACGAGCAGCTTTCCTACCTTCTCTCAGCTGTCTTAGCGGTCTCCTTTTGTGACCCTGTTCTGCGAGTGGCTTCTCTGATGCCGTACGGTGCTACACAAAGCCAAGGCAGAGGTCAGACCCAAATAACACACAATTGTATGAAACACACACAACAGCGCACAAACTGTGGCTTACACAGAGTTAAAAAGGAAAGCTTCTACAAAGTTTTTACAAACAAGCTGGTAAGGGCAATTTCTTGAAGATGTATTAAAAGTAGATGCTAGTAGGTAAGTGCATCAGATGTGCATTCCAGCTGCTCTGGGAAGCACTCCAGTAAGCACTCAATGTAAGCCCCTGAAGCCCATCAGAGCTGCTGGGCAGGCTCCAGTGTGCTGCAGACAGAGTCCTAACAGCAGCACAGACCATCAGGATGAGAAGCCTCTGTGCATCAATAAAGTTATGCCTTTGCTGAATGAGACTTCTTCTGAGGATGATTTGCAGCCACATTGATTTCTACTGGCAAGCATAATGTTCTCTCTATGGGAGAAAATATTACCTCCAGCTCTGTTACACATCTGTAACTGTCCCTAAAGTAAATGCAGAGATGTCAAACGCAGACCCGGCTTCCCCAGTGCTGCCCTCAACCTTCATCCTTTGTAACAGGGAAACCGCAGATCCCAGCACCCACCAAGACATGAAATCAACATACAGACATAGGCAACGGCCTTTTAGTCATTGTTATGGGGCAACAAAAAACATTAACAAACTTACGATCTGTAATGATTGCATCAAACAGCATCCCTTTTCTCCATATGGGTCTCGAGGAATCAGAAACGAGAGCATCAAGGTAGTATTTCTCCAGACCGTACTGCCGGAGGTTAGCCCTGATGTTTTCATCTGGCCCTCTCCACTTCTGGTTCTTTCTGCTTGCCTTGCCTGCACGGGGCAAAACGGGATAAAAAGCACACTCAACAACAAACTATTTTATAGGAAAAGCTTTCATAAACTCTATAATTTATTTTAGAGGAAAATAATTAAATGTCACATACAAAACCAGAGTTTAGCTCCTGCCTTATTCTACTCATACAATGCCTTATTCTACACACAAGACTTGTTACAAGTATTTGCAACAAACTTCACAAGTAGCAAGGAATAATGAAAATACATGAGAAAAGCTCTGCTGTATCATCTGCACGGGGTCTCACAAAACCCATTTATAAAAATGTTGGTCTGTAAGATGTTCTCACTGTCCATCAGCCATAATCCTGGCCAAGAGGTCAGATATAATTTGCACTGCGGTTTTTCAGAGAAGTACGAACGGGATTAGGCTTCCTGGGGTTTGCTTATGAGAAGCTTCCTACATCAGAGGCTGAGAAAGCACACAGCTGTTGCAGTTATCATTCAGAACTTGGGTTTTGTTATTCTTTTTATTAAACATTTCCTGCTTAAAAATTAAGAGAATAGTTCAGCTAGGATACACGTAGATTGGTCAATAAAAATAAGCAGGACAAAATAAATCCTGTGAAGATTAATCACAGAATGCTATGGGGTTGGAAGGGACCTCTGGAGATCATCCAGTCCAACCCCCTGCCAGAGCAGGTCCACCCAGAGCAGGTCCCACAGGAACGTGTCCAGGTGGGTTTGAATGTCTCCAGAGAAGGAGACTCCACCACCTCTCCGGGCAGCATCTGCCAGGGCGCTGCCACCCTCACAGCAAAGAAGTTCCTCCTCACGTTTAGATGGAGCTTCTTATGTTCCAGTTTGTGCCCGTTACCTCTTGTCCTATCAGCTTTAAAACCCACTAAGTATCACCTGCCTATCACCAGTATTCTTAAACTCCAGACAGTAAGGTCCCAGTGGTTTTGGAGTACATAACATACCTAATCCGTGGATTGTGTTGTAATCTATATCAGTGCCACACACGTATGCACCAAAGTGTGCTGAGGAGATGAGGAGGCCACCTATAAAGGGGAAAAAAATGGGAAAAGTATAAACTCTTGTCATAAGTGCTACCTGTGTCAGGGTTTTTTGCTCAGGAACCTCAGGAGTTTACACCAGCAGCACACCAGACCCAACAACAGACCCAAGGAAAAAAAAAAAAAGATAATTAACACTAGCAACCAGTTAGAATCTCTACACAAATATGATCATGGACAATAACACCAAGTCCCTCATCTGCTCTACCTGATCCTCCCTCTCCTGCCTCACCCTGTGTCACTCCTCACCCCTGGAGACCCCTCCGTGCAGTCTGTCCACGGCTCTCTGTATTTCAAGGCAATAAGATCCCTTAATCATTACATTAATGAATTACATTACATTAATTCTACTTCGCAAGCAGCAGAATTTCCAATTGTTGGCAAACAACCTGAAAAATCATCACCAAACCAATGGCAATGCTACCACGTGTGTCCTCAGTCTCCTCAACTGTCTCTGAAATCAAACCTGTGCAAGGCAGCCGTTCCCTGAGAAGCAATGGGCAAGGACCTCAGAAGTGCCAGTATCTCCAATGTTACAGCTGTCCCCAAAAAAGCTTCTGTAGTTGTTTTCCAGTGTGAAAGCCCTACACAGATGCATCTTTGTCTGCGAGTGGGCTGCCTACTCTGCCAGTACATTATCAGCGTACTCATCCTGCAATAAAACTATTTTTTTTTTATAATCACTACTATTGGGATCACTTTCCTGACTAAAAAAGTAAAACCTTACAGAAAAGCATGTGTGATCTCCCCTCGAAACTGGGCAATGGTTGAATAGAAGAAAAGACCAAATGGCATTCTCTCTTTAACAGCTGGCAAATGCAAAAAAGGACAGGTTAGCAAAGAGCTGTGCTAATGAGGAGGTTTATTATAGAAGGGTTTGGAAGAGAACAGTGACGGAGAGGAAGGCTGTGACCCCCCCACTGCTGATGTCAACTGCTCTGGACACCAAGTCCTGCTAGAACACAGGGGACAACTGCTGCAGGACAGGGGATGATGCACGGGCTGGCCGTGAGGTGACACCAGTTCTCCCAGTCACCAGCAGCGGGAAGAGGGACATCCCCAGGGCTGCACTGCCCCGTGCCACCCCTAAAGGGTGCCACAAACCCCTAAAGGGTGCCACAAACCCCTGCCACCACTTACACAGGCCAGGGATCCCACCTGCAGCACCAGGGGAGCCCCGCACCATGCACTAATGAACTCTACCCAAACCGAGGGGGAGGGAGAAAGGGAAAAATAAGAAATCCTCTGCTTTTTGTTGTGAAATGGATGAGGGAAAAGCAAGGTTACTCACCCCGGAGGAGTCACCCATCTCCCTTCTCGGCTGCAATCCCTCAGAAGAGATGGGCAGTGCCTCCAGAGGGCCAAGACAAACTTAGCTAGCCCTGCCCCCAAGTCTGGCATACCACCCAGTCCTACAAAAAAAGTAAGAAGAAAGTACTTTGCCCATCTACGAGTGGTTTTGATTACAGGGGGAAAAAAAACGTTAGGAAAACACAAACTTGTAGCTTTTATTAAGTCTCAGCTGGTACTAGCTCAATTGTGCTCACCCGGAGGGTGCATGGACACCTAGATACTCTGGTGTGGGCAGCCCTCGGACCTGCTGTACCAAACTGGTGTAGAAAGGGCCAACAGAGAACCATCCTGTCCCCTCGGGGCTATCAGCAGAATGATAACGGCACAGAACATCACGCCTTTCTATTGCACTGTTTCCCCTATCCCTTCAGGGTCCTTATCCTCTCCATCCCTATCCTGTCCATCAGGACAGCAAAGAAAAAATTCCCGTTGTTTGCAATTACACAGTATCAGAAATTGGCAAAGGGGAAGTAGGGACAAACATCTTCCAAAGGTACAAACAATGAGCTTACTGAGATAACCAGAACAGACTGTCTGGGAGGAAGCATAAGGGACTCAGGTTAAAGACTTGTTTTATTCTTCCAGAAACCTCCAGGCTTCTTTCTGCCCAACACGGAGGAAAGAATACCTGAACAGTTTATGGAAGTTGTGTTTTACAACCCAAAACCAATCCCAGCCATTCCTACTCTGCTTTACAGAAAAGGGGAATCAAGTGTCCCCAACCAGCCCCAACCCAATCCAGCAAAACCAGTTTGTTTCCAACAAGCAAGCACCATTTTGGTACTAATTTGGTACTATTTACCTTTTCGGCATAAAAAGCAGGAAGAAGCCAAGTTTTCTTGGTGCATTAAAGTTGCACAAATAAAGAAATCTGAACTGCAGTTTCTTCAAAAACTCCTCAAATCCTGAATATACGCTCTTCCCAAACCCATCAGCTCAGACTCACCACGTCACTCTGAACTACTTCCCAAAATTCCAGCACCAAGCCACTGCTGCCCTGACAGCTTTGAAAATCCTCTAAAGGACCTCAGGAGACTGTTGAAATTCCTGGGATTTACTCACCAAATGCAGGTGCAAAAGCCACTGTTTAGTTGTTTAGTCATAAATGCACTTCCCTGAGAAATGGGGCGCCACCTGGTACCTGCAGTGTCCCTGTGTACCCCAACTCATCTCAAGGCTCTACATCACAGATGACTCATGCAATAAAATCACAAAAAATGCAATTCAAATCATTGGGCAATTTGGGGAGAATTTTGAATATGTTACCTTTTGAACTGACACATGACTTAACATTTATCTTGAATTTCTATAGCTTTGTGACTTCTATGAGATTTTTCTTTCTCTAAATTTACCTTCCTTTTTTCCCTTCAGTTTTCACTCCCAAGAGAACAAATGGTCTCAGAGAACTTTTTGTGATTTAGGTTTAGCAGATTTTTGTAAAAAGACACCAAAATGAAACAAAGTGCTTAGAGATGAAGCAGAGGAATTTCCTCAGCCTTTCAGAGCACTACCCATCCGTGAGGAACCCCAGCACAAGGAGGAGGAAGAAATTTCATAAGACGTTATTATTCATGCGAAAAATCAGGTCGTATATGAACAAAAATTTAAGACAAAAACATATAGTTCACTGAAGCCTTGTGTTTCTGAAAATATTCCTGATCTGTTTCCTATGGTACAGAGAAGCCACATGATAAGAATCTGTCCTACTAGTGACCCTGTTGCCTTGTCTTCTCTCTCCCTAACTTTTCTGTAGTGAATTCTCTTCACCCTTCCACTAATGTACATATTTTTAATTGTGTGTTTTTAATTGTGTGTGTCTCACACGTAGTCTTGTTGGTCAAAGTTTAGCAAAATCCAGGTCAGAAACAGAGATGTTGTTACACTTTTGAAGAAACTACTACAGGTAGCAAAACACTCTGTATTTTATATGATTAAATGGCACAACTCGACTCAACAGATCTCCTGTTCCACCTACAGAGCAGCCCGGTTTCCTTTTGGTGAGAAGTGCCAGAGAGTCATACGTGGAATAAAAGCTCCCCCTCCCGGCTCCACTCGGACAGGCTGGGCCGGACACAGGGTGGGATGGATGCTCTCCTCCAGGGGAGACGCCATGGTACAAGCAACTGGTCCCTGTGGAACACCAGGAGGTAAGGACTGCTCTCCCCCCAAACCCCACCGCTCCGTCACCTGGGGCCTTGAGCAGCCCGTGACACACACCAACACACACCGTGTTTAGGCCACGCTGCATCAAATAATACAGCTAACTTAGACTTGTCAGAAGCGTAAAATAAACTGTTTACGTCTTCTAAAGTTGATCTCTTTTCCCCCAAATCCCTTTCAAGTTAACAAAACATTCCATTTTATCATCTCCATTTTGCTTTCGGTATCATCTCGGGTACCAGTGGAGCCCCAGCAGCTGCTGTGCCAGGTCACGCGTGGTGTGAGGGGTAACACAACCTCCCAGGCTTTCCCACCACCATACACATACCTGTTCCAACAAATGGATCGTACACAACATCATTGGGCTTCACTCTCCCGTGGTTTGCCATAATGAAAGACAGGCAGGCATCCATGCTCGTATTGCCAATAAAGTGTCTCTTTTTAACGCTGTAGGACTCTATGAGTTCTCTTTGGCCATCTGCAATCTGTTGAGACATTTAAAAACCACCGTCAGGTCTCAGATTCAAGATACAAGCAGACACAAGGCTAAGGGACTTGCTTCAGGGACACCATCCAACAGACAGGTAACTCCATTTCACAACACACCACCTTGCTTTCTGCTGCCAGAAAACACAGCAGACTTCTGCCCAGGCAACGGCTATCTTGGGTGGACAACCAAAGAGACCCTTCAAGCCAGAGGTCAAAATCTTACAAACAATTTAGAGGGAAAATTCTTCTGAAGAAGTGAACTCTTCATTTCACAACACACCACCTTGCTTTCCGCTGCCAGAAAACACAGCAGACTTCTGCCCAGGCAATGGCTACCTTGGGTGGACAACCAAAGAGACCCTTCAAGTCAGAGGTAAAATCTTACAAACAATTTAGAGGGAAAATTCTTCTGAAGAAGTAACAGAGAACCTTTTCTATTATTCTAGGTATCAGAAAAGCAATTCCTGGCAGTTCAGAGTTAAAAGCATTTCAGAGTGATGAGGAGCAGAGATGCCCGTTAACACAAGTGTGCACACGCACATGCTTAAGGTCACACAGAATTTCTGTCCTCGCTGGCTTTTCTGCCCACACTCAAAATCTAAATTTAGATCAGCGTTGACAGATCAGAATTTACTGGAAAAACAAAGACCAAACGCTAACATTTTTATGTGAGACTTCCAAAGCATGTTGAAGAGGGCCACAGTGGGCTGGAAGAAAACACATCCAGAAGCCCTTCCAACATGAAGCCTTACTGGGTAAACAAAACATGCCTGCCCATTTTTTTTTAAGGTTGGTCTCCTTGTTTTTAAACACTTCAAGAATCAGGGAGTTGAGAGAGTGAGGTCTCCCCTCAGCCCCCTTTTACTTGCCCGATTTTTCAGGTTGGTTTCCTTGTTTTTAAACACTTCAGGAATCAGAGTTGAGAGAGTGAGGTCTCCCCTCAGTCCCCTTTTCTCCAGGCTGAACACCCCAGCTCCCTCAGCTGCTCCTCACCAGACTTGTGCTCCAGACCCCTCACCAGCTCCGTTGCCCTTCTCTGGACCCGCTCCAGCATCTTTCCTGTGGTAAGTGCTGTGTCCAGTTCTGGGCTCCTTGAGGTGGGACCTCACCAGTGCCAAGGACCTTAGATTTCAAGCTCCGTAGAGTTTCTGAAGGTGGTTCCTACTGCACAGCACCGTGCTGTCACTGTTCCCTCAGGGGGCATCCCCTGGGGGATGGACCTGCCAATGTCCCAAGCCTCAGGGGTCCGTCTGTGCTTTCCTGGCCTGCCAGGACCAACTGCAGCAGAGGATGCTCCAGCATCAAGCCCTCTGCAGCTCCTCCTGAACATCCATCCTCATGTCTGAAACAAGTTGCTGGTGCTTTAGCTCTCTCTGGGCCCCAAAAATCTCACTCACCACCAGAGCTGAGCAGGGACTCACTGCTGTGCTGAGATTCCTCACGGGAGGGCAAGATACTGTGTGTTGCCAGGCACAACGTCCATGTTTCACCTCTAAATTGCCCAACTAACCTGTTTTTCTCCCCGTCATGATAAAGGCTTTCAAGACTCGCATCAGTGTATTACGCAGTGACAGATCCAGCCATAATTACATTGTCTGCTTCCATTAGAACTCTACACAAGGTTTATGTTCAAATTGAAGAACACTTTCCTGAAAATACAAGCTGATAAGAACTGAAGCAAGCGGAGTCACGCACCCATCTACCAAAATACAGGTGAAAGGGCTCTTCTGGAACATTATTAGGGTCCATTCCATAATCTTCCAAAATCCAGAAAACGTGTTCCGGGTTCTTTAAATTTACTTTGCCTTTGAATGGCAGAAATTCAAGGGCCTAAAAAATAAAGAAAAACAGAGTCAAAAAAACAGGGTCAAATTTTTTAAATAGTAATCCCCACAAGAAAAACAAAACAAAACAAAAACCCAAACCAAACCCCAATTCTACCTGTGAGAAATGACTGATTAGTACTAAAAGTACATTCTCAATTTTCCCTGGATTTCTGAAATGCCTTTCTCATGAGTGATTAAGGATTAGAAATCAGGAACAATAACATTTTTCATTAACTGAACAGAACCCAACTTTAGAGAAGAGGAACTGTGCATATTAATTATGCAATTTTCAAGTTTTAAAAACATGATGAACAATGGGATTTAAAATTTGCATGACGTGCAGCTGCACCAACTTACATACTCAGCATTATTTCACAAAAACTGAACAAATGGGAAACGGTAGCTACTGTTAATACAGATAATTTCTGTCTCTGTAAATTAAGTAAATAGGACAACTAGCTGCTAAAACAGATTGTTGAAGAGCAAACAGTAACATAGAAAAATTTCTTAATTAAAATACTAGTACAGTTAAGAGGACAAGTGCATAAGGACAGAACAGAAACCAGGACACAACCCCTCTGCAATTGAAGTCACTTGTTCCATGTTCTGCAACAAAAAGTGCCCAACGTGGGGATCAAGCAACAGACTGTCCAAAACCCAGCACCTGACTGCAGCCATTTGAATCGTAGCTTTGGGCAATAAACTTCAGTGGCCCCAGGACACTGGGCTGAAATCAGCAGTGGCATTCGTTTCTCTTTGCACATGCCTTACGGAGGCTGTTTAGGAAAAAAATCACAGCCATGAATTTTTGAGGGAATGTTACTACGACACAAGCTATAAACTGCTTTAACATCTTCTGGAAACCCAGTCTAAATACACTGATAGCATGGAATAAGAACAACGTGAATAGATTACATTAAGTGGCAAAGATTTCTTAAACATCTACTTACATCTATCTTTTGTATTTTCTGTGCTTGGGTCAGTGTTTTATTAAAGGTATGAATATGTACTTTGTAAGTAGAGTCTGACTGTAGGTATGGAAGCTGGAAAAAAAGCAAAGACACTTTCGTTAGCAGAGCTGCAGTGCTGCTCAGTGTGGCTGAGGGACAGCATCCCCCAGCTCCGTCACACACGTACCATCTTGGCCATGGGGTAGTTCCTCAGAGACGTGTAGAGCTCCCCAGCAGACCTCCCGTGGCCCCACAGCTCAAACACAGACCTGAAGGGACAAAGTGTTATTGGGGTGCAGTCACGGAGGGGAGAGGAAATGCCTCACAGACACTTCTCTCTTTAACCTTCTTGGCCAATGTATCTAGCCCTTGCTTCATGAAGTATTGAGGCACGTTATTCAACTCTTAGCACTTGCTTAAGTTTTGTTCTTAACAGGGGGACACTTATTTTTACTCCTAAGCTGGTATTTCAGTGATGCTTTTTTGCTTGGTGACATACACTGAGAGGTACATGTCAGCCTTGGCACCAGCAGAGCTGTTTCTGGCACACAGCGATACTGAAATGAGCCAAAATTCACACATACCCACCCACCCATGGGGTGGGCAAAGAGAAAGGGCAACACTTCCAAAGTGTCCCACTGCCCCGGGTAACACAAATCCTGAACCTGTCACCTCCTACAGATGACACCACTGTCAGAGGTCCTGTCCCATCTGAAATGTGGCTGTGAGGCTGGACACTTTCAGCTATTTAAGGTGTTTCTGATGCTCCTGTGTGCCTGTTCCCACGCTGCTGGATTTGGGAAGAGCACTGCTGCCTTCTCCTGGATCTTCTCCTTGGGAGGGGAGGGGAGGATGCTGCTGCAGAGAAGGCACAAGCCCCCACCACAGACCTTGTGCCCAGCACTCAGACACCCCGACCAGCGGCCTTCCCCTGCCGAAGGGGAACACCCTCTCACTGCAGGGATCCTGTCACCCCACAGACTGTTACACACTCACACCTGAACACACCATACACACAGTCCCTCAGGGTGGGCAGTGCCATGCGGCACCCTGCAATGACACTCCTGAAGGGAAACCTTCCAAACGCTCCAAGATTTAGCTCACCCAAACAAAAGTAAGAGAGAACCACATTTTACTAAGTGACAAGAGCAGACACCAGGGTCCAGTGGTAAACTACTGTGTTAAAGTACTCCTTTCCTGGATAAATTATTTAAGGTTACATTTCTAACCTGCATTTACCCTGAAAAAAGTACATTTTTTTGCAGTGTCTATTCTTCCTAAAACATCTGATTCACCTACTGTGAGAATTTAAACGATATTTCTGGATGGAGCAATGAAAATGCTGACAGCGTAGGCTGCACTAGAGAGAACCGAATATTCATCTTGGAATTTTACTCAGCTGTTGGGGAAGCTCTTATAACACCTTCAGTCCCACATTTTACTTTTACACTTACACATGCGTTAGAAAAAAGTACAAAATTAACATTTGCCACAGCATAGCAGAAAAATTTTCCGCAGCCTGTGTTATCACTGATAGGATTTTTCACCTCTTACTTTGCACATACTGTCCGTTTCATCAGTCCCCTCGCCATCTCTTCCGAGGGAATACTGAGAATCCAGAACGGAGACTGGAAAAAAGAGAAGGGACGTGACACGAATTGCACAATGAAATGATTCTGCTTCATAAACACAGAACATAAAGAGAAGGTAAGTGATGCAAATGCCAACTGGAGGGTGTCACACAAATTACACAATTAGATAGCTCTGTTCTATAGAAACGGAGCATGCATGCTGAAGGCAAAAAACAAAAATAAATAAAACCTGTTAACTCTACAGAAAATATATGGATAAAATATTAAAGTTGAGGTAAAAGTGCATACTCAGCTTGAATGTCTGAGAAATTTTATTAGGTAATTCATTTTCCCACCATATTTTGACTTGGCAGAACATTATTTGTTTGTTTATGCTCCTCTAGATTATTCACCCCCTAAGTAACCCTAAACATTTCCTTACCCACACCTCCTAACTCCCCCCCGCGATGCTTGATGGTGGAGACACTGAGACCCCTCTCACTCGGTGTCACCCCTCGGGACCCGCGCTCCCGGCCACGGGGAGGCAACGGCCAGGCTCGGACCCCAGCGGGGTGCCAGGGGGGTCGGGGTCGGGTTGGGGTCGGGGTGCCAGAGGGGTTGGGGTGCTGGACAGAGGGCAGAGCCCCCCAGCAGATGGCACTGCTTCCTTCACGCTGCTGCGTCCCCAGGCATCTTTCATCCTGTGCATCTTTTACTCAACTCTTGAGTCCCTACTGAAACGGAGAATTAGTCCGTTTTGGGAGATACCTTATTTTCCTAAGAAACTCCCGAGTGCATTCAGCCCCCCCCTTTAACAGCCGTACTGTGCAGAACACACTCGTGCTCCACACACGCACCCAAAGGCAAATCTTTGGTCCTCACTTACATTTACACGAATTTCCCGCTCGCTGCTGAACTGTCCACCGTAAAGGGAGAGCAAAGACGTGATTTCCTAAAGTGAAAATATAAAGGTCAGGCTTTAGGAGCATTAACTGAAGTTTTAACGAAAGAAAAATAAATAAAAATTTAAAAAAAAAAAAAAAGCCAGCAGCACACCATACATTCTCTGCAGGCAGTGACCTGCACAGGGATTATGACCAAACACCAGAGACAGGAGCAGCAGAAAGGAGGAGTTTATTCCTGACCCACTGCAGGAACCGACAGTGAGACACTCGGAGCAGGGGTGTGGACAGAGCAGGGGTTCATGGATAAATTCAGTTTGCAGGTAAAGTTCATAAACCAAAAAAAAGTAGACTCTCCTGGTGTAAAAGCAGCTGCCTGCCCTCCTCGGAGCTCAGCTGCCAGGGACCAGCATGGCTGGGCTGGGGAAAGCTGTGCAGGTCCCACCATGAGGGAAACCACACCAAACACCACCGTCCTGCATCCTCCCTCTCAGCCAAATCTTCACTGTTCAGTCCTACACTCTCACAAAAACATTCCTCTTATTCTGTCTATTCTTACAGTGTTTCTCTAACTCACACAAATCAGTGTCTCACTAGTAACACTGGCCCAGGGCTGGGCTCCGAGCACCAACCCCTTCTGTTCCCTCTCTGCTCCACAGGTATCTCAAAGGCTTCCCTCAGCAGGTGTCTTCTCCAGAGTAAACCAAACCGGAGACCACAAACTGCACACCCAAACCAGCAGATGTCCAAGAAACAAGCCAGTAAGTAATAACTAAAAAACCACCACCCACTAAAAAGGCGTTTGAACCAAAGGGAGAGGTCAGCACAGGGATGTTCCTCCCATGGTGCCCACCCTCGACAGGACACCCTGCAGCCCTCGGATGCTGCTGGCAAGAGAGAGAACTGGTGTGAAGTGCCCCTCTCTGTCCCACAGCCATGGCACGGCCAGCAGCACCTGGAGGGGATGGAAAGGGAAAGGGAATTGCTTTCTTCAGCAGCTCCATCAAACCAGTGCAACCACCACCGCGGGGAAAAGCCCCACCTCTCTCTGCTCCATACACATGGTCGTTCCACCTAACCCGGTGACTTTGCCTCAAGAGAAGTTGGGTTGACCGTAAATAAATAAATTCATGTTCCAGTCCCAGAAAGCAGGCAGGAAAAAACAAGGCACAAAATAAACCTTAATGAAAACAAGGAAAATAAATGGTGCAACAGATGATAAATATTTTAAAATGTGTAATGCTGACCTACCAATTCTAACAGAATAATTCTGCCTTTCAGCCCTGTTTTAATCAATAGCACATTACCCTGGGTGTCACAGCACCAGATGGGACCTTAAAAAGCTCTTAATGTATCAGAATTTGTTACAGTGTATAGAAACTCTGTGTGTCAAGAAAAGAAAACAAACAATCACGAGTTTAATTTACAAATGAGGAAATTTACAAACAGGGAAAGTGTGTGCAGAGCCAGCCCTTCCCTGGGCCCACAGACATGGGGGGGCTCAGCAAACACCGGGGAGCTTCAGGTCAGGTACAGTATTTTGGGGGTTTTTAATGATTTCTCTGAATAGCACGTGATAAGATAAAACCCATTTAGTGTTCGGGAACGTGCCTGGGGACCTCCATGTCACCCCACGGCCTGTGCTGGCCCCAGGGCAGCCCCGTCCCACTGCTCCCCACATCCCCCCAGAGAAGGGGGTGTCTGCTCCCTCCCGCAGCTCTGGCGGGGCTCTGGTGGGGCTGGGGGGGCAGGAGGGGGCAGGTGTCTCCAGAGAGGACCCCTCCAGCCGCCGGGGCAGCAGCCGGCAGTTACACACCCACACCACGCTGGTGGGAGCACCCACGTTGCTTAAACAAACTGAAAAGCCACCCAACGGGACCTCAGAAACGGGGTCACAGAGGCATTTCCCTGCGAGTGCCCGTGTCTTCTCTGGAGCCCCAGGTGCCGGCAGCCCCCCGGCTCCAAAGGCTCTAGAGAGCGGCGAGGAAAGCTGCGCCTCAGCTACACCACCCAGGGTGTCCCCCCACCCAGGAGGGGCTTCTCCATCCAGAGGTGTCCCCCCACCTAACCCAGGAGGGGCCTCCCCACCCAGGGGTCCTCTCTCCACCCAAGTGCCCTCCTCCCCACCCAGGGGTATCCCCCCACCCCAGAG